AAGAAGCATGTCTTGTGGGGGTTTTGGTGTGTGTGTTTTTCTCTCCCCCCCCCCCCCCCCCCAACAGCTGATAGCAAAATTCTGTAGACTCAATATCTCAAAGTTTGACTTCTATTTAGGCCTATATTCCCAAACTGGTTAAGGTCTCCCGCAACTTTATTTCTTGGCAGGAAGGAACACAATTTAGACTATCCAACTGCCAAACACAGGGACATAGTCCCGCCTTTAAATTAATAACATTAACAAGAAACAGAGTCATTGTAGAAATGGCCTGCCAGGAGACATCATCAGTGTGTTTTGAGATTTACAGATTTAGATTGTGCGGTGTACATGGCCTCATATAGGCATATATTGAAAAGATTTGTTAGGGTGAGCCTGTTGCTCTGGAAATGTTCTCAATTCTTCAATGGCCTACTCAATGACTGTGGATTCAGTTGGGCTGGTACATATTAAAGATTAAGCTTAGGAACCAGTAGAACTGACACACTGGGATTTTGTGAATACATTCATCTACTGACTGTCACTGTGTTTGTTTGCTGAAGCGGCGCTTAGAAACACGCAGAAATTCCACCCCAAATTAGTCAGCCGAGAGTGTAGACAGAGTACAGCTGGGGTTTCTTTTGTGAAACATAAACTGGCCTGCCCTCCAGTGACTGAACACTGTAACAGCTGAAGTGAATCATCTTGGTTTACAGTTTATCGTGATGATCACATGATTTAAGACATCTACAGGTTTTGAAGTTGGGATTCAAAGCAACATTCGCACACAGCATGGCTTTGTATGTCTATGAAGGGGCGACGGAAAGGAAATGCATTCGATATCTTACCAAACAAAGTCAGTTTGAGTATTCTACTGCACTGGATGGCGAAGGAGAGGTCAGAGCTGTCAAAGATGGTAATGAGGTCATCATCTAGAAAAAGGTAAGAGAGAGACCAGATGAGTCACAGTAAAGGAAATGATGTTTACCACAGAAAATATGTTAGAACACCAAGAAAGAAACATCGGCCTTACATGGTTAAGTGACCTGGTAAAGTAATAAGTATATTCGTATCATAAACCCTATACTAGTTCATAATAAATAAGCTGCCCTCAGGAAAACTCACTGTCTTACCCTTGAGACCAATTAGAACAAAGGGTCCACGTCCTGACTTACCTTCATCCTTGTATTTGATGGCAACCTCGTCGTTACTCTGCAGCTTCCCCCTGAAGACTCGCTGCATCATCAGCACTAGCTCATCATAAGTAATGTCTTCGTTATGGATCGGGATGCGTCTGATGTCGTCGCCCAACTGGGCTTTGATGATCAGCTTCCCGCTCAGGTCCAGCTGGCCGTTCATGGTGCTGTCTGACCTCTTCTGCTCCCACCACTTAACGGGGTCAGAGGAAAGGTAGTTTTAAAAACAAACCACATCTGTTCTAGCTTTCCTTCTCTTTCTCTCAATGCTAAATAGTGCCTATTTGAGTATGACAAATTATCAACAGCTGAATTTAACTAAATTTGAAAAGTTACATTCTTAAAATTGTAAAGTAGGTCACATAACTTCAGGCATCAACAGCATCAAGGCAACAGACAAGGCAAATGCCTCTGCTCAGCATTGACAGATCTCAATTATTTACTTAATTATATACACATCCATCTTCGGAAATAGAAAATGTCTTCAGGCAATAAATAAAACCACATTCAAATATATATGTATCATTATAGTCAAAGTGAAGCCTTAGATAATACACTGTGTCTGTGTAAGTCAGTAGGTCACAGGAAATTATTTATGATTAAAATGTGGTTGTCTTGTTACATTAATAATGATCAAATTAGCAGCTCCTCTTTATTGTAACTGAGCCGTATTGAGAGAGCTTCTCTTTAGTAATCTATCTTTTGATTTAAAAGTCTCCCTCAGTCTTCAACTATGAGGCCATCTACCTGCAAGGTACTGATGTGTTTGCAAAAGGATGTTTATACCTGTTATTGTCTAATACAATCAAGACTATGCAGTCATATCACAGTGTCCCTTGAACTGCAGTCTAAGGGTCAAGCATCACCCTGTGAGGTGGCAAAGGCAACTCCGTGACATTACAGACTTCGACACAAAATAGCAAGCAGTTGATAAGATAATCAGAGCTTTCAACTGTGATTAGTAGATCTTTCAGGGAAATATAATGTGGTAAATTATTATGCAAGACAAGTGAAACTCTAAGATTGTGTTAGGTATCCTAGATCTGCTGTGTAGCTGTCACTTCCATACATTTAGTTATTCAAGTGGTGTGTGATACATTAACGTCTCACATTGATCGTGAGTAGTCAACATTAACTATGACGTCACCTGTTCGTGTTCTAGGTTGGACAATAAACAATTATGAAATGAATTCCAGAAATGCTCCGGCTTTGACTGTCCTAGCCCAGATGAATAATTGGCTGGATGCTAGGGATTGTGTGGTAGCTAACGTTTAGCATACAGTTAGCTAGCTAAGTTGCTAAGTTAAATGGGGATAACAACAATCTGATTTCTACTGAGATTGGCAACATATACGTAGTTGGTGAAACCGTTGGTACATCAGAATTAGACGTTTAAAATGTCATTGTAGTCTAGATAGCGCTGTTTTAAAAACACGCTCATTCGCAGAGTCATCTGTCAGTAGTCCATTGCCAGCTAGCTTATCTAGTGAATGCTAACGTTAGCTAGGCCGTTTCGTTATTGCCCTGTCAATTGTGACAATATAAACTATGAATTCACAGTTAAAAGCAATATTATAGGTAATCTCGCATTATATAGTTCCATGTATTTGAATAAAAGTAGCTTGGCTTAATTTCACTGTAGAGGCAAAAAAGCTAAACCGGTTTCCTGTGTCACTGTTAACGCTACCGTTACTTTAACGTTCAGGGCTAGCTAACGTAAGATAAACCAGCCTTCTTAACACAGTAGTGTAAGAATTTCGTCTTTCTTAAAGTAAGAATAGATTGGTATCCGATATTTTTGTGAGTAACTTCCTATGAATCTTCCTCGACACCTGTTTGGGGCGAGCTAGTGTAGCGTTAGCTCCCTGCGTAGCAAGATTAGTTGCTAGCTAACAAGCTAACCACTTAGCCACCACTCTAACAGTGAGCGGACAGCAACTGCTGTGTAGTTCAAACTAAACCATTAACTGATATGTGCCTGGACCCCAACAAAAGAAAGTATCTGACCTGAATTAGACGACTTGACCACGCTGTGTTTCACAGGTTTCCCCAAACCGTGAAAATCCAATATGTTAGCTAGCCTAGCTAGACCCGGTTGCCAGCATCAGGAAGTGTCCTCCGAGACTGTTAACGTCAACCAGTACGTGGCATTCATTGTGCGCAGACGCATACCATCTGGAACAAAGTGCGTTGTGACCGGTTGTGACTGACTCACCTAATTGTGAAGATGATCAAACATCAAATATATGATATTCAAGAGCAATAATTGCATTTTATTTGTTTACAATGCATGTTTTATTAATGTGCACACGAGTAATGAGCTGGCTTTCTGATGCTGAATGGGAATACCTGAAAACATAACAGTACAAGAGGCTATTTTGATCACCACTTTTCTTTTTAATGGCTTACATGCATTCTGATAAAAACATATTGTGAGAGGTAGGCTTAAATGAAGGAGACAGTATTTGTCCTCAATGACTTATTTCTCTGTTTGTAGAAAAGATTCAGTCCAGGCTCAATGATGAAGAGGGAATAAAGATGATTGAATACCATTTGTATGCATGGATGTTGCTTTGAAGCCATGTGTGTGCTCAACACTTTTCATCCACTTTAAATAAATAATAATGACAGAAAATCCAGGTTCCTGCATACATTGTACATCTCACTCTATTGTATATTTGTGTCAGAAAACACTGGTGTCTAAGGTATAATGTTACATGATAATGGTGACTGAATAAATAGACATAAATAAGATCTTATGAATAAATTAAGATAAAAACACAGTTTTGCCCAGTCACAGCTTTCTTCACTCCATTATTTCTTCTTCTTTTCCTGAGTGGTCTCGAACCATGAGTCTAACAGTTTTTTCATGTAATATAACTGCCAGGCATGCACTTGAACAGCAACCACCATGATGAGGTACATAACAGTCACTGCGGAGAAGCCGAAAATAAAGCGGTAGGCCTTTCCATGGCGGTAGAGCTGCTGGGCTACAGGAAACATCTCCATTCCACCATAAATGAGAGGCGCTATAGAGAACAGCCCTGCGCTGATCATGGACAAGACCAGGTAACTGATATTGTTCTTTGGCAGTGACAGGCTGCTGCAGAGCAGAGGGAGGAGGCTGAGCAGGTAGGGGTACTCCCACTGGTACGGCATGGACACTGTGTCATGTGACACCAGGTCGAAGTGGCTGACAGTCACCTGTGCTGCCACCAGCAGCCAGAGGAGAAGGTGGACCAGGTTTAACTTACGCACCTCAGACTTCAGGGCAGAACTATAAAACAGATAAAGATAAACAAGGTGTGTTAACGATCACTGTTGTTGCTATTCAGAGATTACATTCATATTTATCGACCAATTTCATGAATAAACAGTAAAAGCTATACTTGCCACATTTGGTATTGCGGGGCCACCCTCTCTCTTAGTTTGAAGTCACTTCCATTAGTACCAGCAGCTCTGAGACCGACGCGGGATGTCATGGTGAGGGAAACCTACTTATACAAAACAAAAATCCTATTTCAGAAGCCCAAAAATGACACAACAAGGGCTACAACTACCTATTATCGACATTATTTGGAAATAGTGAAAAATGCCCAAAACAATTTCTTAAACCCCAAGGTGATGTCTTCTAATGTCTTGTTTGGCAGCAATCCGAAACCCAAATAAATGCAACGATATTTCATTTACGGTTTATGTTTCATAACATGAGCAATCCTCACAACTGGAAGCTGAAACTATGTAATGTTTGGACTTTTTGCTTGAAAACAATTAACCAATTAACAATTAACCAATAATCAAAATAGTTGCCAATTTCTTTGTTTAAATTGATCAATTGACTATTCAACGAGCCTATTTGTTTCAGCTCTAGACATAACATTAACATAACATAACATAACATTTGACACTTTTTATAATACAGAATGAGAATCGATGGTAAGAACACAAAAATATGCCATCGGAGGGGAGAGAAAATAAAGTGAATAATGACTTGAACTCAAGCAAAATAAGTCAGGCTGTTGTCTAATCCCGTTTCCAAGCAGTGCTGCCGACTATCTGAATTGAAAATGAGTAATTTCAGGGAGATTAGTTGCACCGATTTGCAGCAGGCTAGCGCGCTAGCTGCTGTTGCTAGCTAACCTCATTCAGCATTACATATAAACAGATATAGTTACGTACTGTACGTTGCAGCTGGCATCGTTTTGTTGTTAGCAATTACAGTAGAGTGTGACACCATGTACAATTGCTACAGCTAACAACACTTACCGCTGCGTATTTCCGTAACGTTTGGCTGAGCTCCTTGTTTGAATATGTACCAACAAAAGATGTGACAGATGTTTCAAACCGGTCTGCGCATGCGCACAACCTGTAGCCCACTGAAAGCCCTCCCACCGCAGCATCAGCATCTGTTCACACAACACGCAGGCAGCTGCAACCATGACGCCCTGTTCACTGTTTATCCAGCTTTGCTCCTGAGAGAGATAAAGGGAGCTGGAAAAGACAATGACCCAAGTAACGTGGGCATCTTTTACAGTGCTTCTCCAGAAAATTGATTGGCAAAAACGATGACTTTCCATGTATTTAAACTGAGCTATTACTTTATGAATGATAACATAACCTTATCAGGATTCATGGATCAAGTTACCAACATAACTGGTGTATAAGAACATATTTTGTCCTTGATATGGCCTTACTAATCAATCCAGTCGACATAGAGCTAACGTTTTAAAGCTGCCAGACAAAGCATCTAGTGTCTGCATGTTGCATTGTCTTGTATCTTTATGTATACCTTATGTCCTAATGTTGCTGGTATCCATCCAGCTCTCTGCAGATTAATACGTCATCGACCAACCAGGTAACTTTAACAGAAGATCTGACTTAAAGCGTCAACCAGGACAGGTATGATATTTTTTTAGTATTTGGTCTTTCTTACAATTTCTCATGAATGATGCCCCAATGCGGTTTCAACCACACCGTTTTTAGTTGATATATCAGCTTCAGTCGAATTTATTTTTTTTGCTTTCTAAGAGCTTAGAAATATAGATGTCAACAATATATGTATGTGTTTTTTAACAATTTTTATTTAGAAAAAAACAACATGAACAATAATAACAAACGTGAAACATCAAGACATAGAATCCTTGGTTACAACGACAATATTAGCACCATAGTTAAAAGGAAAAATATACATTTATTTAAAGGTTGTCATGCTTTATGTCCTTGTCATTGCAGGTGATCAGCCATCAGCACATAAAATAATAAATTATTGACATTACTGTGATTATGAATTGCAGCGACATTCAATCCATGCAAAACATAATAAATGAAGCTCACGAAGGATGCTGTGGAACTTAAATTGCTTTTCTCGCTTCAAAACAAGAATGACCAGGTGCTACTGTTAATATGTTTCATTTCCAAAGAACAATTCGCAATTTGTTTTCCAAATAAGACACCCTATGAATAATTATACTGCCATTACAACAAAAAATGTATTAAGCCTACAAAACAGTTACAGAATATAATCGGTTGAATTTTAGATTAAGAAGAGTAAGTAAGAATACATTTAATTTGAATTTGTTTCTAAAAAACTTTCTTGCTTTGAAATGACGCTAAATGCAGAGTCATTATATTCATTCAGTCATTAGAATATTTGACAAAAACACTCTTTAATCCCTGTTGAGTATTATATTGTAGTTACAACTGTATAAGTCCACAGGCAGAGGCTGTGCTTTATGATATTCACTACGTGACACTTATGCCAACGCTATGGTTTAGTTGGTGACTCAGAGATGCTGTTTAGTGTGGACCTTTATGTGTATGGTGTAGTTTTCATACTTCAGGGCAGTATGGTGTGTTTGTTTGACCTCTGCACTCCGATAAACCTATAAGCAAACATTAAAACATACAATTAATATTACATTCTTACTCTTTGAATCTCACTCATGGGAGCAATTGTCAGTGAGCAACAAATATCATGTGTGTTATTATTTAATTCAGACCCTCTAATCTTTTGTGCTCTTACAAGTGAGCACATTAATTGCCCTATAATAGTTCACCACCAATAACAGTTGACCCTTGTATACATAAGGCCTTGTAAAGTCATTTAGGTTTCTCCCACACTGTATTTTGTAAATTTTATAATTTTTTGGTTATCAGCGTAGGAGCTTGAGAGATTTAGTAATTGTAGGTTACACAACCAGAAATGTGTTAACTTCTAGACATGTACAAACCGTTTTAATAAATAGCTTCCAATGCATTGCCATTCTTAAGAGGTCATTCTACATGCTTGCCACTATCAATCGAGGAACAGAAACTGTATTCATACAAACGCATGCATGCAAAAAATATAAATTTCTTATCAAAATGAATATGCCTTCATCATTATCTACCGTATTTCACATTCTTTGCTGCATGGGGTAGCTGCCAGTTTTGAGGAGGTGCAGGGACAAAATGTGCCTTTGTGCAACCAGAATTGTACGGTTGGTTTCATCTACTTTGGCATACACTTCACATGTTTTTCTTTATATGTTTGTATAAATTGCCCTCTTATAGATTTTTGGCATGAAAATACATCTGAGGCCACCTTTGAGGTGTTCTTTCAATGCTTTTTTATACATGCTTTTACATCGACAAAGCTGTTAGAAAACACATTTGCTCTCCCAATCAGCAACTAGCAGCAACTATAAGGCTATAAAGTATAAAAGCTGCTGTACATACAGCCCAACATACTTCCGGTTTTCCCTCACCTCTCATCACAGCTGACAAGATCAATCATTTGTTGACTTTACATTACAAAGACTGCTCAGTCTAAGTTGATTTCTGATCATGTTTTATATTATACAAAAAATATGCTCCCACTTTCTTCTAACTGAAGCCTCTCTGCCCCTGCAGTTTGTGGTTTTACATCGGATATAACAAATACCCAGAAAAGGAGGAGTGCACATACTGCCCAGCATAAAGTCCTGAGGCCTGATCTGAGGGCAGTTGAATATACACAGTGTCCCCAGGTTGAAGTGGTAGTACTGCACTCCCTGATGCTTGATCGAGGAATCCCTTTTTGTATTCATCATATGTATACATCACTGGCTCATTGTTCCTCATCAAAGCCACCCACACATTAGCTCCTTTGCAATGAACGTGGTATACAAAATAATAAATGCCAGGCATGTCACATGTGAAGATTCCTGTCTCAGGGTTGTAGTTTTGGCGACCATTGTACAAGAGCTTGTCAAAGATGACTGCAGTGCCCACAGGTGGAAAGGGAGTTGTTATTACTGCTGTGAATGCTGGCATTTCCAATCCACTGGCACCCATTACTTCAGCCCCATTGTCTCCATACTTGCCCTTCTTACCATAGCCAGCAGCCTTAACACCATCTAGTTCAGGACCCATCTCAGAGAGCACTCCTGCCATCTCGGGAGACGGACCAGACAGTCCAGGTGGGCCTGGTGGTCCAGGAAGGCCAGGCCTACCTGGTTGTCCAGGGGTTCCTGGTGAGCCCCCTTTCCCTGGGGGTCCTATGGGTCCAGGAAACCCTGGATTCCCCTCACCTGCAATGCCTGGTTGACCTGGTAGACCGTTATCTCCTTTTGGCCCAGGAAAACCAGGAGGCCCAAATGGTCCAGCTGTGCCATCCATTCCAGGGATTCCTTTAGGACCTTGCGGACCGACCTCACCAGGTAATCCACCTTGTCCTTTTGGCCCGGGAAGTCCTGGTGAACCAGGGTTACCAGGTAGACCTTTATGTCCACCGTCTCCTTTTCCACCACTCGGTCCTTGTGGACCTCTTGGTCCTGGCTCTCCAGGCTCTCCAGGCAGACCATTGTTACCAGGTATCCCAGAGGCACCAGGGTCACCCTGGGCTCCATCTAGCCCTTTAGGTCCTCCTTCTCCACAGTCTCCTTTAGGACCAGGTGTGCCTAAACCTCCTGGGGTTCCCATAGGGCCTGGGGGACCTGGTGGACCATTTGGTCCATTTGGTCCAAGCATACCAGGCAGTCCTCCGTGGCCCTTATCTCCTTTTGGTCCAGGAAGTCCAGGTGACCCACCCATACCTTTATCACCCTTTGGTCCTGGAAGTCCTGGTTTGCCAAAACCAGGAAGCCCTGGCTTTCCTGGCAAACCTGGTGGTCCTGGATGACCTTTCCCACCTGGCATGCCTGGCTGTCCTGGCAGGCCATTTTGACCTGGCTTTCCTTGACCAGGTATACCTGGTGGGCCAGGCTGTCCTCCTTCACCAGATGGCCCAGCTGGTCCTAGCTCTCCAGGATGTCCTTTCTGTCCTGGTGGTCCTTGTGGCCCTGGTGCCCCATTCAAGCCAGGTTTTCCAAAACCAGGAAGCCCTCGTGGGCCAGCAGGTCCTGGGGATCCTGGGAGCCCTTTGTGACCAGGTTGTCCTGGTATCCCCATTCCTTTATCGCCTTTGGGTCCAGGTAATCCCGGTAGTCCTGGCAGACCTTTGTGACCTGGCTCTCCTTTGGACCCTGGTTGACCTGGTAATCCCTGTACCCCTGGTTTACCTATTCCTGGCAGCCCAGGTGGTCCTGGGGGACCCTGAGGCCCTGGCTGCCCAGCTGGCCCTTCTTTACCCCCAGGGCCCATTTCTCCTCGTGGTCCAGCCTCACCATTTCCTCCTGGCTTCCCTTGCAGTCCTGGCAAACCTGGTTTTCCCACTCCAGGCCCTCCTGGTGGACCAAGAGATCCCGGTCGTCCCGCAGGTCCAGGCTGCCCATTCCCTGGGGGTCCAGGAGGTCCTGCAGGTCCCTCTGGTCCTGGTGGCCCAGCTGGGCCTTGTTCTCCTTGGGGAATTCCCTCAGCCCCACTCGGGATTGTCTGACCTGTGAGGAGATAGATATTCAGCCAGAAACTACAGCCAACATTTTGATTATCAATCGAGCACACACGCACATGTAAACGATACTTGGTTGGGTACTTCCCTTTAATATTCCTTCTTTGGTTCTTGAAGAAAAAGAACATACTATATGCCATTTAAAATGAAAATGAAATCATTGAGCCCTTGTGTTCAAGATGTGAATATATGTTCACGAAAGATTGTTGGTTACTGATTGTTGAAAATGTTGACTTTCTCACCTTTGTCTTGGCCACCATTATAGCCGCCTCCTTTACGAGGGTTTTCTTTGCCCTTGTGCATAGGCATCTGGGGTAGCTCCTTCCTGTAGTGGGGATACTGCATATAGGGTACCTCTTTGCCAAGGTACTGTTGTTGGGGAAAGCCTTCATTGCCCATGTGTTGGTGGTGCTGTATCGGCTGGTATTGCTGAGGGTGTTGCTTGTGTCCGTAGTATGCCCCAGAACTCACATAAGTGAGTACCGCAAG